AGCTTTGTCCTTTGGTTTGACCCCCGCAAACCAATTGTCCCTGAAGAAGTTCGATGCTGAAGCATAGGAAGCTTGTCACGGGTCCCCAGAAACTGCGGTGGTAGCAGCGAAGCTGCAAGAGTGTCCGTGTAATCTCTGCCCCGCATGGCGTAGCCTCACCTCTTGTCTGCGTAGTCTCCACGGTCTAGCGTTTGATCCAACAAACGAGCATGCTAGAGATTCGCGAAATTCGATGTTTTTCCCGCATTGCTTCCTGCGGTAGCAGGCTATGTGGTCACACTCATACTCTTCAACCACATTCATGGGCGTCGGGCCCGAACAGGCCTGCAACCCTGTAAGGAGGCCCTCCTAGACTGCTGTCCTGAAAAGGGGGCTGCGTGGTTCGGGGGAGTGCAGTCTGCACAGACCAAGGTACATGGAGCCCCTGATGAAGAGGATTGCTGACCAAATTGCCGAAAAGGTGCAGGACAACGGCCAGGGTTCAGGGCTATATTGGTTTGGGGGCTTGCCTTTTGAGGCCAACTTTCGATTTAAGCTTCCAAAGGCCGTTGGAGACCCTGAACCCACCCCTTAATGTGAAATACTCCCCAAATACTACCAATGCAATGAGTGGGGTCACGTCTGACATTAGGGAGTTGGGAAGCTTATTATTTACAACTTCTCTATCGATTGCTGATGCTGATGCGCCTCCGGTCGGAAGACTTATTTTCAGGGCCCATTTCTGTCGCACCACAGCAGGCTTCACTGGGTTGGTTAGGGAACTTATATATTCAGTCAATTCCTGGATGATATGTATACATCGTAGCTAACAGCGAGTGATAGAATATTCCAGAATGTTCACTTCGCATCAATAAGTTCCCCTCTCGATTGATCGATTGATCTGTGTCCATTCTGGGGGCCCCCGGAATAAAAATGGCGAAAATACTGGTTTTGCAGTAGTATGAGTATGAGTATGAGTGTTATTCATTCTTCTTCTTAGGAGTAGGAGTTGGAGAAGGAGAAGGAGGACAAGCAGCAGTAGCAGGAGGGGAAGAGTAGAAAGAATAGAAGGAGTAGGTTTGAGGTAAGCAGCTCTGAACATATATCCCTAAATACTTATGATTTTCGGGATCTAGTTCTATACATGCAGGGGGTAAAGATTGTGTTCCGGCCGCGGGGTTTTATACATGTAGGGGTAGCTCTTCATGTGAAATCAACATTAAACCCAAAACCCTAACACAGTTTGTTTGCCTTCATGGCATGCCAGTTCTTGAAATGTGTAGAGGAGGAACCTCCCCCAAATATTAATTTTACCTGCACCCAAATAGTACCGCCGCATAATGGGAGGGGGTTGATTATTGGGGTGGAGTAGATCAGTATTCCTTCTCTTACAAAAGCATTGCTCGCAGCGCCTTTTCATTGCGAGTCCTAAGTCTCTTTTATGCAATGCTGGAAGATGTGGGCGCAATTCCCCTACAGACCTTAAACCCTACCTAGACCCTGGATGTCCTACCTTTTGTGGATGTACCCTATAAATATGTGGGACAGACCCCCAAAAGGGAAGGACGTCCAGGGTCCAGGCAAACCCTAAACCGCATGGGTACAATAAAGAGCCGAAGGCCGCAAACTACTTGTAAGGTAAGCCTGTATTGCGCGTTCGCTGAAGTAGATCAAGGGTTGCAGGGTTACACCCCTAAGGTTGTACCCCTAAAAGGTTTCCCAAATATGGCCTTTTACCATCCTCCAGGGTCCCGTTTAAGGATCCAAAGCCCAGGGGTACAAACCCTAGAGGTATAAGCCAGCAACCCTTGAAAGAAGAAGTCTTCGTATGGACACCTGCAGCGAAGTGCTACTGACAAGGAGCAGATCAACATCAATCAGATCCTGTCCCTGGATCCACCGAAGGCAGGAGGAAGCCTGGCATTCAGGGTTGGGCCTGGGTTTGGGGTTTAGGGTTCAAGATTTTTGGGCATCTGTGTTTCAGGATATTGTATCCGGGGATGTAAGATTTGACGGATTCTAGGGGCTCAGGTTTAGGGAGGTTTAGGGTGTAGGCTACAGGTGTAGCAGTTGGGATGTAGAGGTGGTCTCCGGGCTAGGTGTTGTACTTTTGGGTTTGCGCACCTCACGGGGTTTATGGTTTAGGGTTTATGTCGACAACGGCCACCGATGGCTAGGTCAGGTTTTGGAGTTTTTATACGTTAGCCAGAGAACACGTTAACTTCGGAGCCGGCAGCCTTCCACATCTTCCTCGCGCGATTCTCAAGAGAAAGCCAGATACAGTTCTCACGTAGACAGGGCGACCTGCAGAAGTATGGGATGGCCGCTCTCTGTAACAAGAGCGAATCTCAACAGTTTCAAGCATATACCCTGACCCCTAAATTACCTAACTCCTCAGGCCTAGGCCCCACTACCCTAAGACAGAAAAAAACGAACCGCATAACCCAAACCGCGAAATCCTAAACCCTAAACTCCTCAACCTTTAAACCCTAAACATTTGAACCCGAAACCCTACACCATCAAACCCTAAACCCCGAACCCTAAGACCTATCCGCAGGCCATGCAGATCATCGAGGATGGCCGGAACGCATTGGAGTGGCTTGTCATGCATTCTTCCTCTGTTGCGGTATAGGGTTTAGGGTTTTAGGGTTTAGGATTGAGGGTATAACGTTTAGGGCCAGTGTTTGTCATGATGTATTGATGGCAGCCTCCGCTTCAGGTATACATGCTTGCATGCTGTCAGTCTTTTTAAGCACAGCTTCCGAAAGTGCAGTGGGATGTTACGGGGTTTCCCCCACGAAGACAGCTGTGGCTGTACAGAACCGGAAATAGCACCCCTTCAAAGTATAGTCGGCAAGAGACTTGGTTTACCCAAGCCCCGAAATGGGGGACCTATAGCATTCATGTGATTATAACAGGGTCCTACTTTAGGGGTCGGGGTAAAGAGAAATCCTTCAATTATACTTGTTTTTCATGCGCACTTATGCTACAGCCTCCTGACCTACTCCTAGTCGTATCGTTTTCCCGAGTAAGGGTGGCGTAGTATGGGCGCCAGCAGCAGCAGCACTTTGTCTAAGGCTTTGCTCTTTTGAACGACAAAACAAGTTTTTCAACGCAATATGTGAGCCTTACTGAGTTTCACAAGTTGTACTTGCAACGCCTTCTGCCCTCGCCGATTTGTTTGGAGCCTTGCCAAGCCTTTGCGATACGCCACCTAGAGGTCAATAGGTACTTTGCCTGATAACCCACTAATAGCGGTGCATGTAACCAAATTGCGCGTCCTAAGCCCTCTAATGTGGCTATCATTGGGCCATACTGCCCCTAAACCCTAGACCCTAAACCATCATAAACGGGTTATGACTTCCCATTGACCTTCAAGCGGAAGTAGGGAACGATCTCCTTAAACCTGAGAGGCCTTGACGGTTCAGGGCTTAATTCATCACATCCCCTTGTATAACCGCCGTACCCACCCCTTCATACTAATTATTCCCAATTTCTTATAACATGCCACACTGGGAATATTTGATATTAGGGGAGTGGGGTGAGGTTAACGTTAGGGGGAAGAGTTTAGATTCTGAACCAGGAAGTGGAATGAGATTTACCTGACCACTCGCGACAAGATGGAGGAGAGCGCGACAAACCAGCGCCCGGCGCTCGGATCAGTGATAACGATCGTATTAATATTGACTCCAACACCCTAAACCCCTTAACCTTAAACCCTACAGCCTAAAACCCTAAAGCCTTAAACCCTACGCCTTATGAGATGCTTACATTCCACTGGAATCTCAGAGAACGTGGTGGATGTAGGATAGAGACGTTGTTCTTATCAGCTCTGGGGTTCGTCTACTTGAGGGCGCCACGGGTTTGTCATGCCTTTCTTCCATTGGCACGTGGATACATCGACTCATTGTCGTCATATTCCTACCCTAAACCCTAAAACCTAAATGCTAAACCCTAAAGGTTCAGGTTTTCAGGTGCCTAGGCTCAGCTTACATGCTAGTTATAGACCAACATACAGCCCCAGAAAGACGTTCACAGGCACAGTAGTCTACGAAGAGACGCTTTCAGGTTCCATGTTGGTTCTTGGGTAGGTGTACGTTGCAGATCTCAATTTGGGCATTCTTTCAGATGCCTGCTGCATTGCAGGGAAGCCATAGGACCCCCCTTTTGTATACCCCTATCCATGTTCACCCTGGACCCCAAACTGTAGTTTCCATTTTC